GGATGTTATGGACCATCATTGCAAGGAGCCCAATGGACATTTGGCCCAAGCTTCTGAAGAGCTGCCAAGTGTTATCAGTTTTTATTAGCATTCTTATGATCAGTTTTCCATGTTATAAAATGTAACAGTTTAGGACTACTTTCCTTTTTGGTTTGTGACTCATATTAGTTGTCTATATACGATTTATGAGTTCGAATAAAGAATCACCTTTAACTAAGAACTTATTATGTGTATGACAAACCTGCATCCACCTTCTCTCCCCAAAGCAAGTAGTTTAGGTTGTTCCTCTAACTGCCATAGATTCCATCTCTTCTCTTCCACTGTTTCCCAGACACCGCGGGTGAGGGTGTGCAGATTGCTCTTAAGAGTTTCACTAGATGCTCTTCCTCTGGGATCCTTCTTATAGAAAAATAATGAGATACAACTCCAAAACCATCCTCATCATATCTTTTCCACTTGCTTGAAAAATATTATAAGAAAATGATCTGTAGAGGTAGTTATTAGTCATGTCTAACTACTATAGTCATATTACAAGGTTGAAATTGTCATGTAAGCATCCACATTATGGAACCTGATTGTTGTATACAGTGCAGTAGTACTAGTTATGGAAGTTATTGAGTATACTTTAGTATAGCAGTCTTCTGCAGTTCTGCTTGCATTATGATGTTATTGTTTGCTTGTATTTCTGCAGGCAATTTTGGTGAACATTTACACAAACTATATGTTGGCGGCATGAACAGACAAACTTCTAAAAGGGAAATAGATGAAGTATGCTCCAAGTTTGCCAAAAATCTTCATTCATCTTTTATATTCTGTTCTGGGGCTGCATGGCAAATTGCATTGTCTCTCCTGTTTGTTTTTTTTGTTTCATATGTACTTGCACAATATTCAATATATTCAATATTATTGTTATCTTACAACTAGCTGCATACATATTCTATTATCAGAAGTGCAGTTTCAACCTTTGCCATGTAACTTTTGTGTGTGGCTTGTAAAGTATTTCATATCACTGTAACAGTTCTATTTTTGTTTTTGCAAAATAAGACAAAATGGTCAATGATATATTTTTTGAGACATTTTTTTTGTTTCTTATTGACATAGCAAACCTCATGTTGGATAACCTTCGTTATATTCTAAAGACTGATCTTGGGTTTTGGCTTTACTACCAGCTATTTTCTCGATATGGGATTATTGAATCAGTTTTCTTTGTACGTGACCGTGATGATCAAAAGCAACACCGGGGTAATCTGTACATTTCTTTTATATCAAATTTCCAGCTAGCATGAGTAAAGTTGTATGACACAAATTTACAAGAAATGTTGTTACCCCTTGTCTTGGAAATTTATTTCCTCGTTTCCAGGTAAAAAGATTGGTGTAGCTCTCTAATAATTTCTCTTTTAGCGGCATGGATATTTTGTGCTTTTTGATCTACTGTTGATATGTTGATACCTTCTAGTGCTTTAGTCTTATTTTGATTAGTGTCTAACATTTCCCTACATGCTAGTGAAATTTAGTCCTTTTTGAAGTTTATTTCTCATTGCTATTTTTTGGCCTTGCATACATTTTTTTAAATTACCAATTTCTAGATTTATTTTTTTCTATCTATAATTCCTCCAAGTAATCATTTTCTTAAGTTGGTCCACTTCATGTCAATACGTTTTCCTACCTTCAAGGATGTGCTTTTGTTCAGTTCTCTCGTAGAGACATGGCAGTTGCTGCCATCAGTGCACTGCATGGAACATACACAATGAGGGTAAAATGCTCTAGCCACTTTGTTGTTTAAATTTTATATTAACATGTAATGACTGCTTTCCATTTTACATTCTTACCTTTCAGGGTTGTGATCACCCTTTGATTGTTCGCTTTGCTGATCCCAAAAAGCCTAGATTGGCTGACTCTAGGTACTGTTCCTCCCAATTCACTCTATGTTAGAAATTGACCTTGAGTAGTTTTGTTTGTCTGCACTTATGTTCTGAAGTCACTGCTTGCGTAATTGGTGCTAGGTGTCCTTTGGCTGCCTACATTTTATTTCCCCAAATTGATTCCCACCTAGTCCCGCTTCTGCTCTTCCTGATCTCGCCTAGGCCCTATCTAGGTGGTACTGACCCAGCCAGTTGGCAGCCTAGATCTTTTTAGAATATGACTTGTTTCTTTAGGCTCTGTTAGGATGTAACATTTTGGAGGGCTTAGCAAATATGTTGATAAAAAAAAAATTATATGAGCAAAGGGTGATTAAAGCATTATACTCATGTAATTTTTTTTTGAGTTGCAGCGATGAATATGCTGAGATGGATGTGTGGCCATACCTCTATGGGTAGGGTCCTAAACAAAGTCATATGTGGGGGATAAATTGTGTGAAGCTAGACTGAGATAGTTTGGGCACATAATTATGAGTATTGATGCACCGGTGAGGTGCGAAGGGCTTGATGGGGGGGGGGGACGTCACGAGGAGTAGAAGTAGACCAAAGAAGAGTTGGAACTTTAGAAGCTAACCGAGGATACGTACCTAGATATGAGATCTTGGAAGCCGAGGATTAGGGTGACATGGTAAGCCTTGGGGGTGTAATCTACCCTTTTGAAGGACTTGCTACCATATTTTCAAAATCATTTAACTGAAGATAACACGCATATTTATTTTAGTTTCACCTCTTAGAACTATCTTCTACATCAATCATGTTCACTATACTCTACACTTCTCTACACAATATACCACTCTAAATTCAATTCTGGTTTCCCCAGGGCACTGTCGTGTATCAATCAGCATTTTGGTGGACCTGTGCCACTGAATCCTTCAAGTCCAAAACAGGTATTTGAATTTGCCAACCATCACTTTTGGGATGGACATATTTTGCCATCTATTGATACCTGTATGTTATTAGGTAAAATTTAGACTTGCCCAAAAAAGTACTCCTTTCGTCCCAATTCTTGATGTAGAGGAGAGAAAAATTATGAATCCAATAATGTTTTCTATAAATAGAAACACGCAATGCAAGATAAATTGAGATAGAGGAAAAACATGCAACGTTAAGGGGCTGTTTGGCAACTTCTGAATAGGTAAGTGCTGAACCAGTAAGAGGTCTGAACCATTAAGTGCTGAACCAGTAAGAGGTCTGAACCATTAAGAGCTAGTATATTACTTAACTATTCAGAGGCAAATGTCTGATCAATTCAGATAAGAGGTCTTAACCATTCAGACTCTGTATAATACTTAACCATTCAGAGGCAAATGTCTGAACCATTCAGACATCTGCTCACGAAACAAACCCATTAAGTGCTGAATCATTCAGACATCTGAACCATTAAGAGGCTGAAACAAACAGCCCCTAAGTGTTTATTGATGTGTGTCTACACACACGCGCACACACACATACACAAGTCTGTCAAACTCGAGATTGTACATAGAATCGAGTATGAACCTAAAAGTCTTAAGTTGTAACATAGATCGTAAGATCCTCTCTCTCTCTATATATGTGTGTGTATGTGCCATATGAATATCATATCACAAATTTTAAGGACCTAGGAGTATATTTCAGATAATGTAGAACCTGAGAGTTCTTACCATAAAATCAAGGGTACCCTGTAGTATATTTCACATAATGTGGGACCAGCGAGTTATTACCAGGAAATAGAGGGTACCCGGAAGTAATTTTTTGTGTCTCTTTGTGTGTGTGTGTGTATATGTATGTATGTATGTATGTGTGTATATGTATGTGTGTGTGTATGTATGTATGTATGTATGTATGTATGTATGTATGTATGTATGTATGTATGTATGTATGTATGTATGTATGTATGTATGTATGTATGTATGTATGTATGTATGTATGTATGTATGTATGTATGTATGTATGTATGTATGTATGTATGTATGTATGTATTT